TCTCAGTAAATATTTGCTGCTAATTAAGACCTGTAATTGGAGAACATAGGAGATATAAAATAAGCCAATATATTAGTCATCTAAAATGTCATCTTAAAGTTCCCTAATCTAGTGTTAATGTCATAGCTTTTTACAGTACTTCCTCAGAAATGGTTTATGGTTCTACAAAAAGATATAATTTTATATATATACACTTTCTGAAGTATTTGAAAATAAGTTGAAGATATGCTCTTTTGCTTCTCAGTACTTCATTCAAATCTGTTCAGTTGATTTAATAATCTCCTTTGTGGCTCTAGTGCAGGATTAACCACTGCATCTGACTTTCATGTCTTCTTAGTTATCTTTAACCTGGAATGGTCCTTCAGCCTTTCTAGGTGTTTCTTGACCCAGTGGTTTTGAAGAGTAAAGGTTAGTTATAGAGTGTCCCTCAATTTGGTTTTGCCTGATGTTGCCTCATAATTAGATTACAGTTATACATGCTTAGCAGAAATACACCAGGATCAGATTATGTCTCCTATGTCAACATTGGAAGGTTGTATAATATTGGTGATACTAACTGATCACTCAAGTAATATGTGGTATTTTCTGGGTTATTACACTTTAAAATGATTTTCCCTTTGTTATTAATAAGCTGTTTGAGTTACTAATAAGTTACTGGGGAATAAGTTCCTTTGAGACCATGTAAATACCCTGTTTTTAATAAAAAATTACCCCACTGTCTTTAACATCTACTGATACAAATTAAAGTTTACTGTTTGCTTAGTATATAATTCAGTGACTCAGTGACTTTTGACACACACACCCTCTAAATAAAAAACATTTCCATTACCCCCCCAAAATTACCTCATACTCTTTCCCAGTCCATTCCCACCTTGAGAAACAACTGATTTAGTTGTTTGTTTAATTAAAAATTAGTTCTGTCTGATTGAGAACATTGTGTAAATGGAATCCCACGGTGGTGTTTTGCACCCTACTTCTTTAAACACTGTATCTGTGAGATTCATTGGTGTCTTGTGAAGCAATAGCCCACTCTTTTTTACTGCTGAGTAGTATTTTATAGTATGGATCCCTTAATTTGTTTATCAGCTCATCTGCCAATGAATATTGTGGCTGTTTCTAGTTTGAGGTTATGATGAATTAAGCTGCTTGACATTTAAATGCATTTGGTTTTTAGACATACTTCATATTATATGTAAAGAGGTGGCATGTGTTTCATCGTGCTGGGTCAATAACTAGAATAAAATTGCTGGGTTGTGTGTGTATATATATATATATTTTTTTTTTTTTTCTAAAGTCAGTGTACCATTTATACTTTCATCAGCCATGCATTAGAGTTTCTGTCCCTTTGTATCCTTGCTAGCACCTCGTATTGTCAGTATTTTTAAATTTAGCCATTCTGATCCATATATAGTGGTTCTTCATTGTGATTTAATTAGCATTTTTCCCCCAATGGCTAAATGATACTGAACTCTGTTATATGTGTTTACTGGATGTTCATATTTATTTGTGAAGTGTCTGTTTAAATCTTTTGCCCATTCTTTTTTGTTGTGGTAAATTATACATAACAAAGTTTACTATTTTAATCATTTAAATGTACAGCTCAGTGTCATAAAAAGCACATTCATATTTTTCAGCCTCTCACCACCATCTAACTCCAGAATATTTTTATCTTCTCAAATTGAAACTCTATACCCATTAAACTATAAGCCCCATTTGCCCTATCCATTCCTAGCCTCTGGTCACCACTGTTCTGTTTTCTGTCTTTGTCTCTAGGTACCTCATGTATGTGGAATCAGACAGTATCAGTCCTTTTGTGACTGGCTTATTTCATTTATTGTAATGTCTTCAGGGTTCACCCATGTTACAAGATATTTTAGAATTTCTTCCCAAAGGCTGAATAATATTCCATTGTATGCCTATACACATTGTATTTATTCATTCATTGAAGAACATTTTGGTTGTTTCTACCTTTCAGTTGTTGTGAGTACTACTGTGACCATTAACAAACTTGCCCGTTTTTCATGGGTTGTCTGTCATTTTATTATTGAATTATTTACAAATTATGTATAGAAGTTCTTTGTTAGATGCCTGTTTTACAAATATTTACTACCATTCTATTGCTTCCCTACTTGTTTTCTTACCTTCTTTTAATTACCAAAAATCTTTAATCCTGGCAAAATGTAGTTTATAATTTTAAAATTTTTATGGCTACTTCTTACGTCTTATGAGATCTTTATCTATCTCTACCTTAAAAATTCTTTCATATTTTTAATCCTGAAGACTTATCATTGGAGCTGCTACTTTTGTTTGTGAAAGATCTTAATTTTTTTCATGCATACAGTGTGAGGTAGGCTGGATTCAGGATTCTTTCCTCCATAAGGATAGCCTATTATTCCAGCACCATTTGTTAAACATTTTCCTTTCCTTGTTGAATTTCTTCGGTTCCTCTGTCAAAAATTCAATTAACCTTTTAAATGTGATTCTGTTTCTGGATTCTATTCAGTTACATTGGTATGTTTTTCTGGTTGGTACCAATGGCACACGGCCTTCCACCTTTTTACAATAAACCTTGGAGTCAGGTGGCATAAGTTCTCCAACTCTTCTCTTCTTTCTCAAGATGTTCTTAGCTATTCTGTGAGTAGGTTTTTCAGTTTCTATTAAAATAAAAAACAGCTGAACTTAGGTTTGATACTGCGCTGAATTTATAGATCAATTTAGGGAGAATGGGTACCTTAACAAAATTGAGTCTTTCATTACATGAATATGGTGTATCTTTCCATTTATTAAGCCTTCATTAATTTGTATCGACAGTATTTTGTATTTTTCAAAGTAGAGATTTTGTGCCTCTTTGGTTAGAATTTGTTTCCAAGTATTTGATATTTTTCATTTCCTTGTTTACTTTTAGTGTATGAAATATAATTGATTTTTGTATAATGATGTTGTATTGCACAACCTTGCTAAATTAACCTATTCTGGTGGTGGTTTTATAGATTTCTTGCGAGTTTCTTTGTAGATAACCATGTTATCTGCAAAGAGAGACAGTTACGTGTCTGTTACTGGATTTAGCTACTTCAGCTTTTGTCTGCTTGGTATTTAATAGTTTATCCTTTTACTGTAAGCATGTCTGAGTCTTAAAGCATATAGGTGTTTCTTGATTTGGGTTTTGTTCATATGTTTGTTTAGTCTATCAGCATCAGCCTTCAAAATAGTGTTTGGTCCATTTAATGTAATTATTGCTAATCCTAGATTTATTCTGTTATTTTTATCATTTGTCTTCTGTTAGTCCCATCTGTTTTTGTCTCCTCTTACAGTCCCCCCCTCCCCCGGTGAGTTTTTCCTCTTTCTTTCTTTTTTTTTAAGATTTTTTTTTTTTTTTTGAGATTTTATTTATTTGCGAGGAGAGAGAGAGAGCATGAGAGGGGAGAGGTCAGAGGGAAAAGAAGACTACCCACCAAGCAGGGAGTCCAGTGTGGGACTTGATTCCGGGACTCCAGGATCGTGACCTGAGCGGAAGGCAGTTGCTTAACCAACTGAGCACCCAGGTCCCACGAGTTTTTCCTCTTTGGTTCATTATGACTACATTTTTCTCTGTGTCCTTGAACATATTTATAGTACCTGCTTTAATGTGATTTTTTTTTGCTGATTTTGATATCTAGGTCATTTGAGAATCATCTTCCCACCCACCCACCCCATGTTTCTATTAATTTTTATTGTTCATAACATCATGTAGCTCCCCTGCATTTTCTCATCTTCCTCTTCCAAGTTCTTGGTTCTTGTTCTAGCAGGAAGTTAACATGCCTGAACTCAAACACTGCCTGTCTTTCTTTCAGCTTTAAGTCTATTGCTCTCACCAGGAGCCTCTAGAATCTTCCCGGAGTGTGCATGCATAGTTCAGGGTCATACAGTATTTAGTTGGGGTTTATACACACATTTCAAGGCTCACTTCTCTGTAACTCTTTCTTTTGCACAGATTGTTGAGTGCGTGCAGGTGAAAACCCACATGAAAGCAAACCTTACCTGGTGAGATTTTCTCTCCAAAGGGCCACCTTTACTCTGGTTTCTACCAGCTTTTAGTCACTTTCTAATGCCTTTAAAAAGTAGAGGGAGGGGCTCCTTCCCAGGACGTATAAATGTTAGAGTTCTCTAATATAGGAGAAAATTATATTAGTGTATATAAAGTATAAATGCATCTACAAGGTTACTTAGTAAAATGGGTATCTCGGAATAGGTAGGTTTTTTTGGTTGATTAAAATTATCCACATTGAATATGTAATATATTATGATCAAACAAAAAAACTTATTTAAAAATTTGATGGGAAATAAGTTGATTTCGGAAATCTCTTGCTCTCACCTACATTTTAATTTATGAGGATTCCCAAAAATGACTGTCATTTTAAATAGACTGTCACTATTTAATTTCCCCAGAGTAGCTTTCAAATTTAGCTGATAAGATAGTATATTTTAAGTCTGAATTTCAGAACTTGAAAACACAACGTCTCTACACTTAATCTTAGCCAAAAGTCCGAGAAGTGGTTCTACACAAATCCTCTTTTTATTCCTTTCTGTGCAGGTAGCTCTGTGAAATCTCACTCCTTTGTTTTTGTTGATTAACCTAATACTTTGAACGGCAGACACACGGGTAATCATTTAATGGCTAGTTGAATGATGAAGAGAGTGAAGGGCAGCTGTCAGAAAAATGGGCTGTGGGGAGTAGAGATGTGACATGTTTTGCCAAAAATCTCATGTATCATAAGCTTAAAAGATCTTATAGGATTACGAAGTGTTACCTTGAAGTGACAATCGTATTGTCAGGCACAATTAAGTGATTTAAGGAAAGAAAACAATTACAACTATGATTTTAAGAGCGGGAGCCTACTTATCCATTGCATTAAATAGAATTGCATCCAAACATCTGTTTTTCACGTCTGTATAGCAAAATGAGAATGTTTGGCGTTTTCCTTTCAAAATACCTAGTTTAACTGTACACATACATTCTACAGTAGACGTTGAAGGAAATGAAGATGCTGGAGCAACATCCCTGCCACCTCAGCCACCTCAGCCATCATCTTCAGCTTATGATCCCAGCAGCATGCCGTCAAGCAGCTTCACTGGAATTCAGATTCCCCCCGGCGCGCACGCTCCTGCTAACACGCCGGCAGAAGTGCCTCACGGCACAGGTAGGAAAGTAAAGCTTAACAAGTTTTGAACTCTCCTTTCATAAATGAGGACCGCACTTGATAGTGTGTTTATGCCTAAGCATGATGGTCATAAAGCATGGTAAGATCTTTAAATTCTATTTGAGCCCACAAAACGATGTTACATCCTTTTTGTTGAAGTTTGAAGGTTAATTGTCCTTTTGCTTTTTTGAGAAGTGACCAAACATTTACAAACGTTACTATAAACTTTATATTTCTTTACCAAGAATAGCTTCTGTGCTTTTCATGTGTGGCGCTGTTTTCTCTCTCTTCCCGTCTGTTACTTGCCCTTCACTGTTCAAGAGTAGCCCTGAGGTATGCGGGTCTTCTATTATGGTATGTTTTGATCAGTGTCCCACTGTGTCAGCAAGATGTGATTTTTCTTGCCTTATTTCCTTAGGACCCAATCTCTGCCCTCAACGTAGATACGTTAATGAAGGGAGCAGACATTGAGGCACACAATCTCAGTAGCAGTGGAATCACAGACAACTGAAAAGAAGGGGTGTGGGTGAGGGTTAATATTATAAACACTTGAATGAAGGAAAAAAGGGAAGTGATAGCTACTTTGAATAAATCAGCATTGTATGTCTGTTTCTCATGGAAAAGATCTAACACTAGTCTCTAGTAATGAGTCCGTGTCAGTAAATAAAAGATAATTTTTAAAACTGCAGATACTGTTCCATTTACTTGTATTATTGACAAAGTGTTGCCCTTACCTTCAAATAGAAAGAAGGGCATTTAAAGCCATAATTTGCATCTTGAAGTGTTTCCAAAAATTGTTCTTAAAATATTTCTTTTATCTCAGCATAAGTGTAATCTGTGGTAGTAAACTGTACAAACATTTCAAAATATTTAATTCATAGGATGAAAATCATCCTTTGAGCCCTAATTTCTGAGGTTTCTATTAAGTACCACACCATTACTGACTTTGAAATTTTCAGCCTCAGTTTAGGTCATTTTGCATGAGTTGAATAGCATTTAAGTTTTCTACTTGACTAGCACCAGTTTTTATTAGTTTCTTTCCTCCTATTTTCAAACCTTTAACTTTGTATTATCTACAAATATGACTATTATTTTTGTCTTGAAGAACATTGATGAATGTGATTATTTTAACGCTGATCTCTTTTGTGTCATCATTCTATATATTTTACTCTGACTTTGCTTTATGGTCTGTATGATGAGTTTATTAGACAAAGCAATTTGAGTTTGTTTTGTAAGTAAAATTTCACAGAACACTATTGTATTTTATTTTCTTATAGAAATATTCAGTATTTCCAGTGTAGATTAATATAAGCAATACCAGCTACTTAGATGCATTTGCCTTAGATAAATACTGCTCTCTTCTAGTGAATTTAAACACTAACCAGGAGCCTCTGACACACCATATTTATAGAAGGGCAAAGTGAGAATAAAATGCACTTTGAAGTGAAACAGTATTGGTTATTAGTTCCTGCTCCTTTCTAAACCACATACTCAAATGTTATGCAGCCTCTCAGCCTAGCTTTTGCCTCTTTCTTAAATGAAATTAAATCATATTCTCATGGTGATTTTTATTATTAGAGAAAAAGTTTGAAAATTCACTACTAACTGTGCCTAATCACAAAATCAGTGTTCAGCAAATTAGCTTCCTTTTCCTTTTTTTCTCTTCCTTCCTATCTCTGTGCCAAATACAGGGTATTTAAGAGCAAGCTAATGAACACTCAAAATCATTTTGTGAATCAAGGGAAGTGTCACCTTTGGGGATAGGATATTGACCTTAAAAAAAGTTGCCTAAAAGCGCTACCATGTTAGACAACATATCGTAGGGCAAAATTCTGGTACAAGCACATACGTACATATATTTTATATATAGTTATACAGTGTGTCTATAGAAGAGAGAAAGCTTACTTCTGGGAGGGCTGTATTCGGGTGAAAAAATATGAAATTGCTACTTTTATATAAGTGATCACTTAGTAGTTAGTAAGTAAAGTTAGTAGTTAGTATGTAAGTGATCACTTAGTAGTTAGTACTAAGTAAGCTTAGTAGTTTCATATGTTCACACTAACAGACAGTATGTCCTGCTTAGAATATCCTTGACATACATAGACTTAGATATGGAGGAGGTAGTCTTCTATTAGAAAGTTTTCTGGCATGAACAGTTCATCTTGCTCCAGCTAACTCTGGCTTGAGCCTTGTTGTGTTTTGTTTTGTTTTTTTTTTTCTTTTTTGTTCCTCTGAGTGAGCACATAAAACCAAAAACCTTGGAACTTCTTTAGGGTGAGGTCCTGTCTTGTTACTTTATGTACACTCTTATAGGCTTAGCATTTACAAAATTATCATAGCTATTTTATAAATTAATTTTAAGCAACTATTAACTATATTAGATATTGCTATCCCTGATTTATACACTGGAAAAAAATTAAGCAATTATCCCATGAAAATAAGCACATAAACATATTTATTAGTGACAGAACTAGAATTTGAACCCACATCTTTCTGATTTCGTGTTTTTGGCACCTCCTTTCTGTCTGTCTCTTCCTCCAAGAAACTAAATCTCTGTTAAATCAGAATCTACTTTTGTCACAATATTTTGCCCCTTAAAATTGGTTTGAGATACTGGAATCTCCTATTAGCTGGCAGATTTTTATTTCTATTAGATTTAAAACATGGGCTATATAACCATCTATTTTTTCCTATTATATTTAAAACAGTTTAAAAAAATAGGCTCTCGGTTAGCTAATAGCAAATGAAATAACATTTTTAGTTTATAAATATAGCAGATGTTTCCCCTCTTACTCACTTTAAGATTGATTTACTTTCCCTCATATAAAGATCCAGGATGCACTTTTATCAAAGGGAAATCCTCAAGATAGCTGAAAAGAATAGTATGTACTAATATACGGTTTTTAGTTCTTCCACAAAAAAGCACAGGGGCTGCGAGGAGGGCAGTGAGAGCGATTGTTGAAGCAGGCAGAGTGTTGGCCTCTGTGCTTTAGCCACTGTGGACGATCGGATGGATGGTTTGTCCTTTCTCTTGAAACGCATGCTTTCTACAGCCTATAAATATTGAGGAAGAAGATCTCGGTAATAAACCTAAATAGGTTAAATATTAGAATTATGTTATAATTAATGCTGGCCTTTTGATTATAAATGCAGCTTATCATATGTAGATCAAAAACTTAGCTCTTCTATTGTTCTTTTATGTATGAGAAGTACTGCATTTGAGTTTTCCTGCTATACGGTTTCCAAAGTTGTTAATATTTTGTCCTGACCATTTCTGTCAGCACTCTTTTCCATTGATATTATACTGAGGTTTTACTCAGCCCAATCCTCCTATTTTCTTGACTTTGCTTATAGTGTTCCTTGTAGATAGTGTGGCTTTCTCCCTTTTTCTCTGCCTCTCCAAATGCTATACTCCCTTAAGGGTTCTTTTTTAATTATAATTCTGGATAATCTTCTCTAGTTTTTTAACCAACACCCATTTCTTCCTTTTCAAAATTCCCAGACTATGTAGACTATAGAACAATTTAAATTCGACACTTAATTAGAAATCTTGTAATGTTTAATTCTTGAATGTGTATTAATCCCATTTAATGGGCTATGTAACCATCTTCTTAAAAGTTAACCAGAAGTTATTTGTTGACACTTCTTTTTTGTTAAATAATAGAAAGGAAGAAATTTCCAACACAGTTCTACTCTTCCACATGAATGTTTTTATGGTCACATCACTCCCAACATACTGCAGTCTTCAGAGCTGCTGTCCACTTGTGAATTGACAAATGAGACCTTTCCAGATCCAGAAAGAAAGAAAAACAGATTTGGGCATCTTAAAAAAATAAATGAATAACATAAACTAAGAGACACTTTTACTAATTTAACAAGTATTTATGAGCTTATGTTGGGCCTGTACACTAGGCCCCCATGGGAACATGTCATGATGGCTGCCAAAAGGACAGGCCTTGCCTCATGTGCATCAAGACAGATGGAAGCAGCATCTTCTTACTGCTGCTTGAGGCGTGTTTAGCAGCCTGTGCTGTCAGTTCAAGCCTTACTTGAATGACTGTGACCAGAGAAGTTCTTGATAAAATATGGACTACTTATTTTTTTAATATTGCTCAAATAAAATTTTACTACATAACTGAATTTTCTCCCTGCAAATTCTGTTTTGTTCTTGTTAATTAATAGTGCCTACTTAATTAATTATGTAAAGATGTACTAATAAGCATTTAAAAGTTAATACAATACGCTGGTCAATAAAAATACTCCTTTTCTATAGAGAAAGAGATTTGTTCGAAAATTTTAATTTAGGCAGAAACACAAATTACTTAGCAAGGGATGGCTTGATATCTAGAATGATCTGTGAGCAGGTTGTAGACTTACTTTTTTTTTTTTTTTTTAACATTATACGAGAAATATATCATCAACCTACTTACGGTTTAGGCACAGCTCCTTCAAAGCACTAGGCTTGACTAGGTAGTCTCTGAAGATCCCTCTCAAATCTTGCATTCCATTTTTTTTTTAAATGTAATTATGTCTTTTTAAAAGTAAGTTTTGAGGGGACAGTTAATGTTGGATGGTGATCCTTTAGTATATTTGGTTAGCACTTACCAAAATCAAGCAAAAGAGAGTCATTGAATTGGTCAATTTAAAACTTGTGTGTCACCTGACTTTGGAGTTACACTTCTTTAACTTTTTCTATAAATGAATTTGTGTGTGTGTATATATATGTATATATACGCATGTGTATATGTAACATTAATTAAAAATTACTGCTAAAGCTTAGTAAGTGAAAAATGCATGAAATAGTATAGTATGCAGACATGCCACCGTCTACATTAGATATGTGTGTATGTAAACACTCAGAATATATTTTCCTGCATATTTTCTTTACCAGGCTCCAACATCAAATAAGTATGTCAGATTAAAATTCATTAAGATTTCAAAAAAGTAATTAGGAAATGAAAATTCCTTCATGATCCTTTAAATATTTTCCTAGTGTATAATTAAGAGGTATAATTTTTATGCCCATTTGTGGTTTTCTGATGCAGGTGTAGCAAGTAATACTCTCCAGCCTACTCCACAGACTGTTCCGGCTGTTGATCCTGCACTGTTCAGTACAGTTTCCCAGGGTAAGTCAGCTGACTGATTTTTTTGAGACATATTGTATCTCTTGTTTTGGGTGTTGTTTTCTAATTATGCCTTAAACCTATTGTATAGTGGAATGTTTACACATTTCTTTGAATGTCTGTTTTCACTAGATTCTCCAGTGAACCAAGATTGTTTCATATTATCAAAAATATCTAAATCTGAAGGCATTTCCTCTCCCCCTTTTTTTTTACAGTTCCTTTTTTGTGGTATACTGCTGGATATAGTGGCACAAACATACAGCTAAAGCTATCAGGAAACTGATACTAGATTACTTTAGTCCAAAATTACCATGTCTTATGATTATGATCTTCCTTATCTATACTAAATGATTAGATTATCCAAAAAGAGGAACTGACCATAGTTGAAAACAAAAACAAAAAGAAACCTGTTACAAACTGGCAAATTACCCAAGAACATAGTGGAAAATATTTATCTTATCAGTAGACAGGCCAAATAACCTGCCCAATGGATACTATGTTTCTTTGTTAAACTTGGTTTCCAGACTCCCCTCTGGAGTCCCACCTAATTTTAAAAGATCCACCTAAAATCTGATGTGAAAATATCTGAAATAGATAGATCAGTGAAACAGAGTAGGGACTCTGGAAAGTAGACCACACGTTATAGGAATTAAGTTAATGATAAATGTGGCGTGTGGATCAGTGTGGCAAGAATATATATTCAAAAGTGATGTTAGAACAATTGGTTATCCAGAGAGCACCTGGGTGGCTCCATCAGTTAAGTGTCTGACTTCAGCTGGAGTCATGATCTTAGGGTTCTGGGATCAAGCCCCGCATTGGGCTCCCTGCTCAGTGTGGAGTCTGCGTCTCCCTCTGCCTTCTCCCCATTCATTCTTTCTCTCTTTCTCTCTCAGATAGGATCTTTAAAAAAAATAAAAATTGGTTATGAGAAAAAAATATATATTAGATACTATCCCTCAATACTTGTATCTGATTTAGTTGTATCTTAACAGGTTTAACAAGTGAAAAATGAAAAATTCATACCACAGAATACTGCTTCTTCCCCATTACATTGTTAGAATGCAACTAATAGCCCAGGAGAAATTGAGATTTAAAAATAAAGAAGTAATGTCCAGAGCATATATAAAGAGCTCCTACAGATGAATAACTGAAACTCAATTCGGTAGGAAAAAACAGGCAGAGAATATGATCGGTAATGCAGGTATGCAGTTAACACATGAAAGCTTTCCCAACCATATTATTAATTAGGGAAGTTGAGAATTGGAATGATTTGGGTTTATGTCAATAGATTAAAAAAATATTTTAAAGGATCAATAATCTATAGTGTCATTGAAGACCTAAGGAATAACTCTCGCATGCTATTGGTGGGAAATGTACATTAGTAAAGTTTTTTTCAGCAGTATTATGTCACTGTCAGAATTGCAAATGTAATTTTTTTGAACCTGCTATATTCCACCATCTTAAGAAAATACTCAGACATGGGCACAAAATTTACAAGGATCTTTTATTTCAACATCATCGTAATAGTGGAAAATAATCTTTTAAGTGCTTATTGGGATATTATGGTTCATTCATCATATGGAATGCTGAGGAGATATTAAAATATATATATACACACACACACACACACACATAATATAGTACCTGACATGAAAAGATCTCCTAAGCATATTAAGTTAAAAACAAAAACAAAAACAAAACAGGTTGCAGAACATTATGTATAGTATGACCCTATTTAGGAAAAAATACTAAAATTATCTTCCTGTATGGATGTATATGTTTAAGTACATTGAAAAATTCTAGATAATACTCAGATCAGAACTAATAGTTTCATAACCATCACTGTCTCTTTACCACCACCTCTAATAAATACTCCCTGAATCCTTTTCCTGTTAGATTTTTCTCTTTAGTGCTTTGTACTTATCACCTTTAATACCCATAGTGTATGTGTGTTAATATTAATATGTTAAACATTTCTGTAGTGAATTTGTGGCTTACTGTGGAAAGGAGAATGGAATTACTTGAAGGAGAACATTTCCTTTTTTAACTTACATCTCTCTATATAGTATTACAGTATGAATAACCACTTACCTCATGAATTTTTTTGAGAATTAAATGGAATATCTGAAAAATATTTAGCATAGCGCCTGACCTAATCAAATTCTACCTCTAATCATTCTAGTGTTGCCATTTCTAAGGAACATATCTTGGTAATGCCTGGATATAAGGGTTCTGTACTGAGCTTTATCTTTACCTACAAGATTTACTGCTTATCAGGTGATTCCCGAATGATTCTGCCCATGCTTTCCATTCAAGTCAGAGGACAGTAGAGTACACTAGGATCAGATATCCAAGGTTCCTGACATGAATTTTTAAAATTACCTAGGTAAGTAGGAATCTCAAAAGACCCATTTTGGAATTGTTAAAATTAAGTATTCTGTGATCTGTCATGACATTAGGTAAATCAGTCTTAGAAATGGACGCTTATGTCTGAATGTGCAAGGATTTCTCTTAAAACCAAAAAGGTGATCTTTGATCCAGTGCTGACCCAGGCTCTTTCTGCTGTGAATGGGAACTTGACTAATAGCTCTAGCTGTCTTCTGCCTGCTTGTACCGCTTGCGGAGGAGAAAAGCAGCCCTGTGATGAGGAGTCTTCTCTGAAGCCATCGGCAACTGTACTGAGCTTTGAGTTCAGAAAAGAGATTCTTTCAGACAACCTCTTTAATCCTTCAGACACCTTTCAGGTCCACTGTGTGCTCTCTGGTCTGTCTGATATGGCCTCTAGTAACTTTTAATAATATAAAAAAACAGCTTTTATTTGGGTGCACTAAGCAGTATTTACTATTTTGTATATACTGAAATTGAACGGTTGTTTTCTTCTCCTTTTATGTATTTTCCATTTATCTAGTTTTCAAAGATTTTATTTATTTATTTGACAGACAGAGATCACAAGTAGGCAGAGAGGCAGGCAGAGAGAGAGAAGGAAGCAGGCTCCCTGCTGAGCAGAGAGCCCGATGAGGGGCTAGATCCCAGGACCCTGAGATCATGACCTGAGCCGAAGGCAGAGGCTTTAACCCACTGAGCCACCCAGGCGCCCCTATCTAGTTTTCAAATGCTAAGTTAAAAGAATCATAATTAAGCAAATTTTCTTTTTATTTAATTTAAAATTTTAATCACATGTCTTATTATTAATGACTCTTAGATGTTATTTGGTTTTGTTTTTTTTTTTTTTTTTTAAGATTTTATTTATGTATTTGAGAGAGAGAGGAAGAGAGAGCATGAGAGGGGAGAAGGTCAGAGGGAGAAGCAGACTCCCCATAGAGCTGGGAGCCCAATGTGGGACTGGATCCTGGGACTCTGGGATCATGACCTGAGCAGAAGGCAGTTACTTAACCAACTGAGCCACCCAGGCACCCAATTAGATGATATTTGTTAAATGAAGGGAAACCTGAAGTGTTACAGAATAGCAAACGCAAGTATTTGACATGGCTTTTTAAGTTCTTTATATTTTTAATTAATAAGTCTAGCATCACTATTTAAATCTATAACTTATATTTTGTATCTGAGTCTTTAAGTTGTTTGTTATCTAGTTATATTTTATATGATAGTCTCATAATTTCATACATGTTTATAAGCTATATGTATTACATATCTGTAAATATTTTCTGTTAAAATATTTTCATTCACTTTTTCTGAATATTGAAATTGTTATTTCATGAAAAGTGCAGTATTTGTGTTTTAAAATAGTTTTATCATTGGTGGGTAAGTTTGGTTTATAAAAACTAAGATGGTAATGGAGTTCTTTCCACTACATACATTTCATTAATAAATGAGTGGTATGTCAGCAAAACATTGCTAACCATGGGGACTTCTTCTAGCAGGTCCAATAAATTCTGTATGGTTGCTCTATATATTTAAAGATTGCCCTGAGATAAGAAGACAGGCTGTTAAAGCACAAAATGAGTAGAGGGGTAAACTCGATTTTCACTGGTGTCTCCCTCACCTAGATAGGGTGTATAGCTTTACATGACTGGAACCTTGCTTAATGTATTTGGAAAAACCGTTGAAGAATCTAGTAGGTATTTTCAATAAAAAAAATAAACCTAAAGTGTCCTGACTAAATTTTCAACAGAACAACAACAGGATAATTTTTTTTTAGGTTTAATGAGTAACAAATGCCAAGACACTAAAATACTAAAAGATTTGTGGTATTGCATTGCAGTGGTGATGCAATGTGGTGATTGCAATGATCGCATTTTACTAGTTTATTGATTTGTATTTCTTGCTTTTTAAGCAAACTGAAATGCAGGAAAATTGAAATAAGGTCTGTCAAAGTTGGAATATATAACCTCTTAGTTCACAACAGTAAAAACCAACCATTATGATCTTTAATAATACTCAACAACTTTTTGAAGACTTTTTATGTAACACACTGGGCTAATTACTGTAACGTAGATCTATGTGTATCATCTTAAAATCCGAAATTTCATTGATGTTTAATTCTGAATGAACTCTGTCTTAAAGTATAGGAAATAAGAATAAATAAATAAAATAGAGGAAATAATGTACAGACAGCATTTTTATTTTCATTCATTAAAGTTACTCAGTACTTATAGGTACCTGGCACTGGCCTAGAAACTTTAGGATGCATTGTTTCAGAACTCTTGAAAATTTTAGAAAATAATGATTTGGATCAGAATTTAGAGTCTAGATACCTGGAGACACTACCTACTTTGAAATCCTTACCTAGGTAATAGCAAAATTAAAAGCAACTAAACAAAGATAGTCTAAGTACATGCTTATAAACTGAATTAAAATATATTATAAGTATATTTTTAAGATAATCTTTTTAAAATGGTATTTTAAAAATAAATATAAAATAATATATAAAATATATTATCTGATCCTCTGTCTTCGGCTCAGGTCATGATCCCAGGGTCGTGAGATCCAACCCCGCATGGGGCTCTCTGCTCAGCGGGGAGCCTTCTTCCTCCTGTCTCTCTGCCTGCCTCTCTGCCTACTTGTGATCTGTCTGTCAAATAAATAAAGTCTTTAAAAATATGCATACATACATATATGTATGTATGTATATAAATAGAATTTGAAATATATTGTTTGTTTATTATATTCTGTGTCCCAGCCTTCTGATCAATTCTTAATATCCTTATAAAGAATTCTGAAGAAAATGGTATTTCAAAAGTCAGGACACAAAGTCAGTTTCTAATTTCATCTTTAGAAATATATATTCAAACTTTAGATTAAGTGAAGTTGTTTTTTTGGTTTTACCCAGATTATTTAGTTAGGGTCTACCCATATTAATCATATGTGTAACTGGAAAACTTGCTGAGAATAAATTTTGGACATAATTTATAAAGGTTGTTCATGTGTTTAATTTTATATTAATGATAATTAAACTGTAGAGATTTTTATATGGGGGCACAAAAAATATTTTCATGCTAAAAAAGCTAAATGACTTATGTAATTTTTAAAAATAATGTTATTTCTTTTTTTTTCACGGAGAATTATATTTATATTCTAGCTCAGATGAGGGTCAGATGGTTTAGTCTGTGTGTGAAAAGAGAGGCTTAACTATTCTAGTATAAACACCAAAGCTACTGTCATTTTTTTACACAGATTATAATTTTTTTGCTATCAATTTATCAAAATAGAAAGGCTTCTAGTTTGACTTCCAGATTAAAAATCTTTTCAAAAAAGTTATTAGTATTGGCATATGTATGGTTTATGTTAATAAGGAAAAAAGTGAAAAGCATGAAAATTCTTAGTTAAATATTTACACCTAGGGTTGAAAAAAATCTTCATGTTTTTATATAACCTTAAATATTTTCTATAATTTTAAATGTAAGCATTTAGCTAACCTAACAGGATACTTTTTAGATTCCTACAAATATCTTAATGACTCTGTGTTTCTTCTAGGGGATATCCGTCTAACTCCAGAGGACTTTGCTAGAGCCCAGAAATACTGCAAATATGCTGGCAGTGCTTTGCAATATGAAGATGTCAGCACTGCTGTGCAGAATCTACAGAAGGCCCTCAAGTTGCTAACTACAGGCAGAGAATGAAGCCTTTGTACAGTAGATCCATGTATCTTTGGATTAAAGAACTAACAGTCCATTACTCTATCTTCAGCCCATCAGGAGGAGCACAGTTTTAAGGAAGACTTCAGTCGCATTGACTATAACAATGAAATCTGTGTCTGTGTATCAGATTCCTGTTGAAGCATTCAGCAGCAGCCTCAACCAGTTTTCATTGTCCATTTAGTGGATCCAGTAATCTGGTATATAGGGCTGATGTGAGCAAAATCTAAAAATGCCCATTGAATCCTGCTTCAGAAAAGAAACACACACTTCTATGAAATGTATTAGGGTTCGCATTGTATCTTAATATTCATAAATTAAGGATTTTTTAAATCATAATTTGAACACACAGACTGTATTTCTTTGCTATAAAATTCTAAATTTAAGTTTAAATAAAAATTGCCAGGTTACACTAGATTAGAGATCATGTTTTTGTTTTCCTCTGGATTTATGAACATCCTAAACTGTTAGATGGAACTGAAAGGGATTATGTTCATAATTAAATTTATGTTCCTTTTTAATATAACTACATTAAAAGTTAAAATTTTTATGGAAGAAAATAGAAGGTAAAGAGGTGAAGTCACTTTTAGACTTAAGAATAATGTTGGCTTCCCAGCTGGTTTCCTTTCTCCATTGAAACTAAAGTGAATTGGTATTTATTCATAGGCAGTTTGACTGCATGTACTAGGGAATGAAAAGAAGATATTTGTAGTAACGCCTGGAAGCTTGGTGCTTAAATTTAAGGTTCTCCTCTGCTGCTGTGGAATGGATTCCATACAGTGTATAGCTAGGAGCGAGGCAGAAGATTATAAGAATTTAGACTCTCAGTTGCTAATTTTATGTTTTGTGGGAAAATATGGACTGTGTGTCACCTGCATTTGTGCTGTGTAAAAAATAAATACAAGGATTCTTTTAAGTTGTTCAGCTTATTACAAGGCCAAATGTGTTTTAATTTGCATGCTAGAGTTTGTCATTTTTTTAAGTCATTATGTTAGTACAGGATTATGGATATTTCTATAGTAAAAAAAAAAGTTTTTAAAAGGAAAGAGGTAAATTTGCCAAATTTACCTGAAATTTATCTCATCCATTTCGTTTATCCCATTAAAATTGGAGTCATTTGGGGCACCTGGGTGGCTCAGTGGGTTAAAGCCTCTGCCCTGATCCCAGGGTCCTGGGATTGAGCCCTGCATCAGGCTCTCTGCTCAGTAGGGAGCCTGTTTCCTCCTCTCTCTCTGACTGCCTCTCTGCCTACTTGCGCTGTCTGTCAAATAAATGAATAAAATCTTTAAAAAAAAAAAATTGGAGTCATTTAACATAGGGGTCCACAAACTCTGTATAGTCAATGGGCAGACTCCTGTTGTGTAAATAAAGTTTTACTGAAACAAAACCATACCCATTATTTATGTTTAATCTGTGTTTGCTTTCCTTAACTGCAGAATTAGATGGACTGCAAGTCTAAAATATTTACTATCTGGCCCTTTAAGAAAATGTTTGCTGACCCCTGTTCTAACAGTCTCTTTGAAAGAAAGTGAATCATTAACTCATAATCATTTGTCTTTCAGTTTTCTTTGCCTAAATGTAATGCTGCTGCGTAGGGTTTTATAGAATGAACATTCAGACAGAATAAACTATTCTAAGATAGTGCAAATTCAAGCCCCACAAACCAATGTGTTCATATCTTTCTGAAAAATGTCTTCCATATCTTTCACAACTAAATTCCTGTAACATCTGTAGAGTTCAACATTTGCATCTAGAACGCTAGTGCTCTGATGCATTCCTCTACACTTTTACTGTAGTAGGAGAGAGTCTAGGATGGTCTTTAGTGTTATAAGAGGTAAATAAATACAGCATATTTTAATTCAGATCTTCACATGCCTGGACACTTGAAAGAAAACTGTCCCCTCCCATTTCACACCCTACTTGGTTGCCCCAATTGGGAGAGCACATTGGGGGGAAAAGATAAAGTGGAAGCCCTGGAGTTCACTGATAAGTGGGCTGTGGTGTAACAGCACTTATCTATAAAATGGAAGCAACATCGCTAGCTTCCTCACAATTTGCTGTGAGATGCTTTAGATGAAGTGTTCAGCAGCTGATAGCAGACCACAAATGTTTATTGTTATTAACCGTAATGTTGAGATAATGTCAATTATTAATAAGTTATTTCCCAAGTATCACGAAATCCCAGTTGTCTCTATGTCCAATTGCTTTACAGTGCTTTCTTGCCTAAGGGGATTAAACTATATAAATATTTTTAGCTTTGTATTTCTTCATATGAAATCTAGCAAGATACAGTTAGAAATTTTTTGATGTAACACTAGGATAAGAAATTTTTATTTAGTCATTCAACATGTATTTAACGAGCAGCTACTATACCTGGTATTGTCTTTGCATGAGATATCAGCAGGAAATAAGAAAAAAAATTCCTTCCTCATAGAGTTTATATTCTTAGGGAAAGGAAACAAACTTAATAAAAAGTGTGTCATATATTCAACCAGTGGTTTTTCAAAAGGTAATTGTTAGAAATGCAAATCTTTGGCTCTTGCCCCAGTCCTACCCAATCAGAAGAAACTGTTAAGGGTGGGGTCTGGCATTCTGAGTTAAGAGACACTGTTGGTAGTCTGGCGGTCCCTGAAGTTTAAGTAATTTTAGCCCTACCCAAATCACAAAGAATGAGAATCTGGGAGGGGAAATCATTAAAAGGATCATATTGGCTACAGTGCAGAGACTAGGCCATAAGGCGGGTAAGAGTGGAAGCTGGGAGACCAGTTAAAAGAGGATTGCAATAATGAAGGTGAGGTATGATGGCTTAGACCAGAGGTGGCAGTGGAGGTAACAGGATGTCATTGGTTTCTGGCTATGTTTTAAATAGAGACATAGTATTTCCAATAAACTGGATATGAGGTATGAGCATAGGAAGAATGAAGATTGACTCCCAAGTCTTCAACTTGAACGCCTGAAAAGAATGAGTGGTTGTTAATTGCAGTAGAGATAGATTGTTGCTGAATGCTGCTAACATTTAGGCTGAAGTACAATGTTCCCAGGTTCTTGTGACCATCCTGAGTAAAGCTATTTGATAACATTGTTTTGCCAGTGCAGACAGAGGGGGAAGAAAAAATAAGATAAAGTTCTATCTAAACTTGATTGTCACAGACATCTCACCAAATCACCACCGAGCTGGAGCTAGAAGCCAAGGACTGATCCCATGGTTAGGGATCCCATGACCAAGGATGTATGCAGGCTTCAAGATTACACCCAGAAAACGACTCCAGTTACAGTTCTTGAAAGTTAACAGCCTAGGATGTTCATATGAATTGATCTCTCTATATACACATAACTTGTACTTCTAGAAATGTGAGGTTACTGTGTATGCCTTAAAATTAGATTATATGCTATTCTTTTAAAGAAATTTACACCCTAATAGCAGCATTGTTACAAATAATCTTCAACTCTGGAAGAACAGGAACTGACTAGGGGTTGAAGAGTTCTGGTTATCTCCACAGCTTCCCCTACCCATCCCCATTATTTTTTAACTTCACTCACATTATGTAACAGAGCAGTTGGATCAGATCATCTACTTTGGGCCATAATTAAACTTGCACCAGTAGAAAGATTCTTTAAAAAGATGACAAAATCTTAAGACATCCCTCATGTGGAGGTGTGCTTACCTGGTTGGTGCCCACTAAGGACTAGGCACTATACTAAGTATTTTACATGTGTTAATTCATTTAATCCTGCCAGTGATTCTAAGAGTTGGGTCCTATCATTGTCCCTGTTTTATAGGTGAGGAAACTGAGCCACCAGATACTGTGCCTGAAGCCATACAGCTAATAACTGAAAGTTTCTAAGCTCAGGCTACCTGTTTCAGACAATGCGTTATCATCCATGTAGGTAAATCACCAGTTAAATTGTGAGTATAGTGAGATGTTCTAAGTGAACTCCATATTACCAAGGTCATGGGTCTCAGTCAAGGTCACGATCCCTATTATTAGTGGGAGGTGTATCACCTAGATTTTTCAGTTATCTAGGCAATGTGTTACAATTAACTGCAGGTGTGAGGCAGTGAATAAAGAACAGGAACACACAGTCTAGAGCTGATGGCCTGGCAGTGTATGGACTGAGTCCAGGGAGAAAATAAGCAGGAGTTGAATGCAAAGGATAAATATGTTATCTTGGAGAGGGTGTCCCACATCACTAGGGAGACCCGAGCTTCCCATTTTTCCTTTAATTTTAAATAATACTACTATTTTGACTCCAAGTATACAAGGTTTATCTCAAGTATTTTTATTTTAAAAATACATTAGACCCATCAGGAAATCAGATAGGGAAATGAACATCAATATAATGTTAATAATCTTTATAATTAGTTACTTCCTCAAACTTCCATCTGAAAAATCTGAGGCAAGAGTGCCTGTCCTTTCAGAAATCCCTTGAATTTGGAGGGGGAAAGAGGTGACTGTATAACGATGACTTCTAACTTTCTGGAGAACTAGCTTTGTAGTTCAGCAATATTAAGAGATCTTGTAAAAATATTAGCATCATTCATATGTTCAAAAATAATATGTATTAAGCATCCACGGTCAATTAAAACTTAACATGATAATGTGGTATTATTGGAGGTTATATACAAGACACAGTAGTTCTTCCTGGGAAAGGTCAGGGAAGGCCTTGAAGGAGAGTCTGAACTGTAGGTTTACCAGGCAGAGATGCAGGGAGAAGGGAGCAAAAACAAAGCATGCACAACAGCATGAAGGGGAAAGAATGAAAGAAATTAGGGGAATCTGAAGAATTTCGTGTTCCTGTGGTAGAAAGCCTATGAGGAATGGGAGTTGTAAATGTGAGATCACACAGGTGGAGAGGGGTTAAGCACTGAATTGTGTCCTGCCAAACTTCCTAAGTTAAAGCCCACCCCCCGATGTGACTGTATTTGGAAATGGGACCTTTCAGGAGGTAAGTTAGATGAAGTGAGCAGTGCGGCCTGAGTTCCATAGCACTGGTCTCCTTGTGAGAAAAGGAAGAGACAGTGAAGATACCTGTCTCTCTCTTTGCTCTCCTTCCTCCCGTCTCTATTTCTCCAAGCACACAAAGAGGTCATGTGAGGCCACAGCAAGAGGGCAGCCATCTACAAGCCAGAAAAGAGAGGACTCACGAGAAGCCAGCCCTGGCGGCACCTTGATCCCAGATGTCTAGCCTCCAGAACTGTGAGAAAATAAATTTTCCTCACCAAAACCATCTGTGGTATTTTGTGATGGCAGCCCGAGCTGACTAAGACAGGAGGCAAGAGGATAAAAGCACTGAGGGCCAAGCCAAAGAATTGACATTTTCGTTTTGAAAGTGATGGAAAGTATGATTTCAATTCTCAATTTCCTCCAAAAATCTGTGGCTCAATTTGTTCTTTAAGAAATGACCTGTATCTGTGTATCTCTATGAAGGCTTCGATCCCCTCAAAGATGCCCTTGACCATATTGATTGCTTGATTCATTGGTGGTAACCCATAGAATTGTTTTGGTCTTCTTGGACCCTCGGTTGTGATACTTGTGTTGTGCTCTGGGGGAGAGTCAGAGTCCCGGAAGAAGGAAGAAGGATGTTTAGATGTGTCTGCTGCACCACACTTTATACTTTCTGTCTAAAACTAATGAAACCCCTCTAACTGTAACCTGGCAAAAATTACCGTTTTCCTCTTCATACATCGTGTAAGTTAAGCTTTACTTATACAAATCTCTCTTCATTAAGATGCTAACCTCCTTAATGGTGAGAGCTATTTAAATTTGTAAATCCTTAGTACTCTAGGTGATGCCTGAGGCAGACTAAGTATCTCTAACCGGTAAAATTAATAGATGACTGGGTGAGGACTGAAGAAATTATACTGAAGCCATCAAATAAATGTTAATGTGCAGAAAACTCTGTTCTCTAATATTATAGTGTGAAATGA